AGAGATGTTCATATGTGTTCGATAACATCAAAATAGGCAACACATTCATTTTAATTCTTTGAATGGCCATTTTGTCTAGTCGGTGGCTTAAAGGCAACGTGCCCACCACTTAAATCCAAGGTAGCGAGTTCGATCCCGGCTGTAGTCCATAGATTTTCTGAATGAAAAAAGCGTAGGCACGCATGTCATATGATTAAGTGGCATATAAGAAATCCCTTTAGAATTAATTTAGCTCTGGTACTCTCGGCAAAATTAAATCTTTATTTATCAAAATTAATCTCGGCAATATGTAACATCAGACGAGAACTTAATTTGAATAAGTTCAAGTGTCACAAAAAATTAATGGCGAAAGCCACCACTAGATGGTACCATCAACGAAATGACCCTCCCACTCGGGGACTTAAGGTAAGTGCAAAGACTATACCATCCAAATTCAACTAATGTGAAAGAGAGAAAAGGAATGGTCATTTAATGTTGGAAGTGGTTTGAAAAAAGCGGATTTTAATAAAATTACGCGTTTCTGTTACATTCTTTTCTCTATAAAATTCAATATGGATTCTTTAATACTTTGAGCTAATGGACAGATGACGAAGTCGATGCTCAAACTAGCACCTTACAACAGTGTTTCTCAAACTTTCCATGTTTGCGTCCCAATATTCAATCATAATTTGCATCGCACCCCCTCCATACAATAACGATGTATTAAATTCAATAATATGATACTTTGGCGTTATATATATAAACCTACAATGCGATTTAACCCTTTAAGTCCCCCTGCTTATATTAACGTCTCACTCAGCCAGTGTATTAATTGCCCCAGACGTATATATACGTCCTTCCGAAATACTATTTTTTCTGTGAACTGCTATCCATGAAATTATTCCGAAGGCTTTGGAAAGCAATAAAATGGACTTGACAGTGTTTACGAAGGATTTACTTATTTCAGAGGATGTACATATTTATTCTTTTTCTACCGCCACCCACCCTTATACACCCCATACGCTTACCTACGAGCTAAATGGTGGCATTGGGGAACAAATCGCGTAATTTTTAATCGTTTTTAAGGGATTAATTATAAACCTTACAAGTTATCAAGATAAGTATTAATATTGGCTTATAATTTTATACATGACAAATCTATGGAGTCACTGGTAATTATTAAACTTGTCCTTAATTTAGTATCTTAAATCCACTATAAAATAGATTGTACACTGCTGATACATTTATAAGTTTGTTAATGTGTAAATGGGTATTTTATTTTTTGTTATGTTACAATATATTTGTTTGTTTACTTTCAGTAAGTTAATAATTATTTAAAATAAACTTTTGTTTTCGACTTTTCAATAGGCTCGCCCCCCTCGTAGGGTTATCACCCCCCTAGGGGAGCGCGCCCCACAGTTTGAGAAACACTGCCTTACAAGCAATAAGCTACAATTATTTCTTATTAATAACATAAACTGACTCAATCATTTTGTTGTCTCTGTAAGAAATGTATTTAAATTGCACCGTAATGGAGGTAGTTTTTCTTCGTTTTTACTCACATTAACTACAATTTATTTTATTAAGATGTATCTACTTTAATGCTTTATAGTAACTAATTGTGTTGAATGAAAATACTGTTTTGTTTTGAACTTAAATTCTTTTTTACAATAAATTAAAGTCAACTGCGGTATTATATAGTAAGGTAATGGAACAGAAAAAAGCTGTATATTAAATGAATTTTCTCAAATAGAAATTCAGCAACAGGAAATCATGGTCGATTATGTTTTGTTAGCTCTTTCAAATAAGATACGAATGCATTAAATAAAAAGCTAGAAGATAATTTCTGTGCTCTAAAGGTAAGGAATACGCATATATATATATATACATGCTTTTTACCTGCTCCAGCTTTGATTTGGCGTTAAGTTACGACAACGACGATGTTATATGGTAATCATTGCATGCCACATCACATCGTTGTGGTATATACCGTTGTGTGTACCACATATTAAAAGTACTATGTATATATTCATATATATTTAATATTTTCTATATTATATAAATAAGCTACGTAAATCGTTTTAGTAGCATATTATATAAGTAGTTTTAGTTAATATGTATAGCATTTGTAACTTGATTTTAATACATTTAATGTTAATTTTCTAATGTTGTTGTTAGGCTTATTCATTAGGCTCTTATTTCATTTCACTTCAACCGAGAAATATAGGCAAATTACACGGGAAGTTAGACTGATTTTAAAAAAAAGTATTCAAACTTGCAATCTTGGTTCCTAAGGCTAAATTTTTATTGTACTACTGTAGCTAACTTATTCTTGACTTACACTGTCTCGTTATGCTTCGATTTTTCTTTGTTTCTTTAGATTTATTGCTATTCAGCATATATAAGTATTGATTATATACATATCCCGTATTTCATTTTCCCTTTAATGACTATTACTCATTTTTTAATGATAGAATTCGATTACAATTTATAACATTTCACGCATTGCATTTTAAGAATGTATACTCTTATCTTATTTACTTCTATTATCACACACACACATGGTTTAAAAAAATACATTACAAACTCATACTTTTCATAACATTCATTTTTAGTAGACTATATTTGAATGTTATAAGCAATCCATTCAGCGGGTATACTGAAAATAAAAACTAACATTAAGAAAAAATACAGCTGAAAAACAATGCATTTAATATTTACCACATTAAATTAGCCGAAGCAGAAAAAAACTATAAAAACGGAAAAAAGGCCACAAAACATAGTACATAAAAAATGAGTACGTTAAACACAATACATTTTGAATACGAAAAATATAGCTATCTTGTTGCTACGAAAGCAAACCAGACAACAAAGAAAAGTATTTTTAAGGAAATAAACATGATAATAAATATTATTACAAACTGGCATGAATAAATTTCTCTTATTGCCCGCGGAATAAATATAAACAGGAATAATTTTATTTATTTTGTAATAAAACTAAAATTATTCATTTCATTGTCTTTCTTTTTTGACAGAACGTGTAGTTTTTTTACAGCATTTTTTCTGAATCTTTTTTAACGTATGCTATCAAAAATGATTATTGTTTGTAGTACCAGGTTTTTGAACTTTTGATCGCCACCCCCCACCCCCTTTATGTATCAACCTCACATTGCGGGTCCTCAAGATTTTAAACTCTCCTTTTTGAATGCAATTGTTATCGGTATTGATGCGCTATGAATTTAGTTTTTTTTCCTAATCTTTGTACATATGTTTCTACAATACTTTAGAAAATATTACCTTGCAAACAATAAAAAAAAATTGAACTAATATTTTTTTTTTATCTAAATACATGATTTAGTGGAGTGTTTTCATTGGGGGCAATATAGTGATCTAGTCTAGAATGACATATCTTTTAATTTTTCTACAAGGCCTTTCAGAGTCTGTTAAGAGAGAAATTTTAAATTAGAGACCTTCGCAGACCCTCTAGGAAGGCGGTGGGGACCCCTGGGGGTTCACAGACCACAGTTTAAGAACTCTTATTGAATTCACATATTTTATGGTATAATTCGCTTTTAAATAAAATATTGTAAAATTTCCGTGCATATTATGTCTAAGTAAAAAGAATTTTATGTAAAAAAATATTTAGTGTTATATATAATTCATTTACACACACTTTTCACGGAACACTAAAAAATAATTGAAATGAGTTTTGTGATTAAAGCTCTTGCATTTATAAAATTAAAATAGTAAAAAAAATTAAGAATATATTGTTTATGAAAAAGTCATTGATATAAAGGAAGTTAGTATTTTTTATGTTCATCCAGTGAAAGCATAGAGAAACTTGAAAGTTTGCTTACACAAAGTTACTTCCTAATTTATGCATTGAATTCATGAATTCCCTCAGAAACTTAACCTGACTTGTTTTTTGAAACACTAAGAAATAGAAAAGAAAAGGATACTTAAGAAATTAGTCGAACATCTTAGAAAAGCGTAAGAATTTCAAAATTGATTTCTTACTTGAATTTTGAACACAAACAAAAGAAAAGTACACAGTTGATTAAATTTTCACTTATTTTGAAATCCAGTAAAACTGTCAAAAAACGTTTTTTCATAAAATTATATTGAAAGGTTTTTTAAATAAAGGAACTTTTCTTTTAAATTATTATAACACTGACAATTTTCAAGATCAAAATCCTTCTTTTTATGTAACCATTCTATCAGATTTAACTTTGAAATTATTGTAAATATTTTGTTTTCACAAAATGATGTAAGTGATGACTTGTTATATATTGGCCTCTCTCTTATAGGTTTATGTAGAAAATGAACTCTAGATTGACAGGTTTTACTTCCCTAATATAGCTAATTATAATGAATTACAAAAATTTATTATATATATAGGCAATAACAGTTAAAATGAACTTTCCTATAGTGTAAGACTTTGTAAATAATGAATTTAAAATATGCATGAAAATTTAAAAAACAATCATATATTATTAAAACTTTGATGATTCAACTTCGGTGTAAATATTCTTTGGGAAAATTACAATAATTTCTAAAAAACCATAAAAATAATCAATATATTGTTATTTTAAATATATACTCTCATTTTTCTAAGTATTATTTTTAAAAATTATGCAATTTGGAACGAATGTGAAGGAAAAAGTGTAATAAAAGCTTTTTTTTAGTAAAAGTAGCTTCTAAAATTTTGAATACAAAAAACTAAAAATGTGTGTGCAATCTAAATATAAAAATTTAAGTCAATTCCTACTTAGATCAACAAAGAAAATTTTTATTTTAGTTACTTTTCATTAAATAGCTACAATTAATATAAATATGTACATATATATGACAGAATCACATATTAAGTCATAAAATAGAAAGCGATTTTTCTTGCAATTTTCCATTTTCCTTTCTATATAGGGTGTTGGACTATTTTTTTATTTGTTATTGCTTATTCATTTATTAAATTTAATTATTCTGATAAAATAGTATAATAAAAAACGCATGCTCAGAAATTAGGCCATCCCTGGTGGGATTAGAACCCATGACCTTAGTATTAGGAGTTCAACGGGATATCCATTATGCTACAGGGACACAACGAACGATTTTCCTCTTTATATATCCTGTTAGACTATTAATAAAAACAGAATAATATGGCAGAATCACAATTTCAAGATTAAAAAAAATTGAAATAAAAAGCGATTTTCCATTTTCCTTTCTATATATGGTGTTGAACTATTATTTTTGTTTGTTACTATTTATTCATTTTTTAATTTAATTAGTGAATTAATATTTGAAAAAACTGTATTAACATCAAATGTAATCCATTACAGGTTTTAAAAAAATGTATTTGACCTTGAATGGATGAATAGAAGGTATTTTATTAACGATTGGAAATTTGAACAAGATATATATATATATATATAGGGAGAGAGTGAACTAATAGTAGGAATTGAAAAACCGAACTGCAATCATGAATGTTAAGCTTACAGTTAAGTTCATATTAAGGTATGATATTTCATTTGGGTAGTATGTCATTAATAACTGAATTTTGATTTCTGAAAAAGAGAAATCTATATTTTTTCTATTATAATCCATCTCAGTTTTAATGCATTGCAATATTTCAAAATGCATCCAACAATATAAAAAGTTGCAAAAATGCAATCATTTCCTTTTTTAATTGATTTTTTGAGTTCTCATAACGTTTGCTAAACTTCAAGGTACTTTTATAATGTATAAAGAATTGTAACAATATTATTAATCAGAGCAAAAATGTTTTTAAAAAAATGTATCAGATGAATGAAAAGGAGTAGTTGACTTACTTAAATATGAATAATATAAATAAAACATTGTCCCTAAATAGTATAATGTACAATAGAAAGAGAGTAATGTTTAGTTGTATCATCACATCACTTACCAGTTTAGCCATACTTATATCTATTATTCGTCTGTGGGAACAAATCCAACCAATACCTTTCCTCTCAGCAATCTAGTAACTTTTAAGAGAAAGATTCTGCTTATATATGTGTATGGATATATGAGCACCTCCCCTAAATCTTGAGATGTATTTTCATACTCATCTGACAGTAGTTCGGAATTCTTTTGACCTGTTTTGTGATGTTTTATTGCATTTTCCCGCGTAAAAAAGGGAGCTGTCTTATTAAAGTATTGTTTTCGGGACGAAACCTACCCGTAAACGGCCTTGATGCCACCTATGTCTCAGAAACTTCAGCGTATTGTCATCGAAAGTCTCGCAGATTACACAAGGTTATCAATTTATTTTCGAAGATTCTATTCGGATGAGGAACTGAATAATATATCGCTTCGCTGGGCTTTACACTCGGAGGGAAAAAAGCCAAGATTTTGTTGTAAATTATTTTGTAATTCCGCTGGAAGAGATGCTGATTTTCATTCAAGGTTACTGTCGCGAAGTTGACTTCGATTTCGGTTATTTAGGTCCAGATGAATGGAAGCACTGAAAGGATATGCATATAAAAAAAATTAGACGAATATCTGCATTGCATAATGGATGGGAAAGAATAAAAAAAAAATCGTCTGCGCACTCAATGACTGCTGTTCGCGCTTTGGAACATGATTTTGGAAGTTCTTTATTCTTTTTTCTCTGTCGGAATTAGTATGACATGAATAATAGTATTTCGTTAAAAAGACGTGAATAACCTCTGAATGGTTTAATCTGCATATCTCAGATTTGAGTAGAAGTTAGAGTTTGGAAAGTTCTTTTTTCTGTCGGAATTAGTAAGAAATGAATAATAGTATTTCGTGTTAAGAAGACGTCAAAAACCTCTAAGTGGTTTAATCTGCATTTCTCAGACTTAAGAGAAGATGTTACTTAAATACGCAAAGCATAAAATAGTTTAACATTTATGGAATAACTTTTTTCTGTAAATGAATAAGAATTATAAAAACCGTATTGTTTAGAAATAAGAGCGTGATTTAAATGTAAAATATTACTTAGATTAAGTAATCTAAATATAAAATTATGATTTTTGGAACTTCAAGCACAAATCAGTATTTTTTTTTTTGCAACTTTGAATAAAAGAATTTGAAATAACAAAAGTCAATGGCACTAAAAATATTTTCCTTTCTTGGGTTTATTTTTTGGGGGAAAGTGGGGATAAATAAAATCAATACTTATAAGGTGACAACCTTCCGAACCATAATTTTAAAAACGTGTAAAAATGGTACTTTTTTTATACTTAGTGTCAGTAAAATTAGAATACACATATAAAAAAAAGTTTTGAGAATACTACATGCAAAATTATTTAAATAAGTTTTTGGCAAAAAAAAAGAATAAAAATAATATATTTTGAAAACCCCGTTCTACCAATGACATATATATATATATATATTTCCAAAAAAAAAAAAAAAATTCTATAATAACACTTTACCAAGGCTGAACTAAGATTTTTGAAATATATATTTAAAAGGGGATTTATATTTATTTTTTGAGCATTAGAGCAGAGAAATTTTAACAAAAAACACCCTTTATTATTTTAATCGATCGTAACTCGGAAAATAATGGGAATTTTTCAAAATTCCTAGTTTAGCCCCTGTATAAAGTCCTAGCTATAGGAAAAATATTATTATACAAGCATTTTACGTAAAAGGGAGAAAATATTTTGAAAATATGTCATTTTTTTCTTTTTTTTTTGCCAAAAAAGGGTTTTTACATAATTTCTTATGTAATAACATTTATCACAAAACTGGGAAAGAACCGAGCCAAAACGTACTATCACCTGCATTGTGCTCAAAGATTCTACTAACGACAGGCATAAATCTAGCTTCTTGCCGCGATGAATCTCATGGGTCTCGATTTGACATCGTTGATCGGTAGTCATTAGAAACAACACAACACAACAATTTTATACGTATGTTCTATAATTCAAATGAAGCTAAATATCAGAAAATTATTCATTTGTACGCTTTTTCAGAATAACGGTACCTAATGAAGTCAATCAGTTATATATATAGTTTTAAAAATTCGTTTATAATAAAATTAGTAATATCTTTTATAATCAACTTCTATTTCGACAATTTTAGTTGCATGTAAATTCATAAGACATTCTAAGTTAATATATGTGATTATAGTTTTCTTACACAGAATTTCTTATTAAAAGTAAAATGTTTTATGTAGATTTTTTTTAATCACATCATATTTTTCAAGTAACGCAGATAATTTTAATTTCCTTTTTAGATTTTAACCCTTTCGTGAGAAGATTACTTCGTCTCTATATGATCTTACAAAACACACCTGCGGTAAAAGCGAGAACCCAATAAAATACATTGGCCTTGCTATTATAATGATGGGAAGACTGATTCCCGCTTCAATTTTATGCTACTGCAACTAATCCAGCGATCATGACATCTGTAAATCGGACAAAAAAATGATTTCATGTCACGTAATGGTCACCAATTCAAGCTGTATAACCAAGGTGGTTATCCATAACGAATAGTGATGGTTACGAGTTTTGCTAACGTCGCACGGGAACTAAGGTTCAATCCAACAATTGAGAAAACAAATAGCTCTGTAAGTTATAAACAAACATTGGCATAGGAGGCACACAGAGCACCAGTAGGTGGGAAAGACAGTTTCACACTAGGACAAGGACAACTAACTAAAGAAGATAAAAGAACACAAGAATACAGAAAAATGTACAAAATAAAGAACGGCAGAATATTTACAAGTCCGTTGATTCAGGTTCTCCCCCAACGGTGGGGAGAGAACTGTTATCGGGACAGCTCGCACTTTGGGCAGACAGAGCAGGAGAGTTCCTGTCATTTCCAGGTTGACTTCCAGTGTTCGTAGCAGAGGAGTTACTGTTTTACTAGCATCTTCGGTTTCCTCAGCTGCCACGGAGTCTGGGTGAACAGCGGCTGCAAAGAAGTACCTTGTCCAGAAGCTGTTGCCGTATATAACGATGTTATGGTAGTGGTTGATTGCTCCGATCAAAGAAAAGAAAGTTGCCAAATAAGATCTGTAAAATGGTGCTATTGTATCTTTTATTTCGTTATTGACCTTACCATCACAAATATTTTCATACTGTGGCGAGTGAACAAAAGAAACAGAAATTTAGACCAGCTAACATACCACATAGCATTAGCTCTTCAGGTAATAGACGGATATTTCTCAAGAAAAAGGAATTTCAAGGAAAGAAAGCTTTCAAGTAAAGAAGTGTGTAGTTCCGGATGATGGGCGCTTAGCTAGTGAGGGAAATCATGTGCCAAAGATGGTTTTCAACTATAGACGATGTAGGAAATGTAGCAGAAAGGAGCAAGAAAAGAGGACCCACTACATGAGTGCAGAATGTGATGCCCCTTTGTGCATTACAACATGCTTCTCACCTTTTCATGGCAAATAATCCCCATTAATTTAATTTTCGTTATGACAGTGAATGGTTCCTTGGAAAATATTCTTCCCACCCTTAAAATCTAAGTGTGAACATAAAATTCGGCAAAATAAAATATATTTCCTTAAGTGCTATTGTTAATTGTTAATAACACATTAAAAACTGCTAGAAATTCAACAGAGAAATAAATAGCCCCATGAAAGCGTTAAGTGTCGCCCATCCAGTATGGTGGCTGTGACCCACGGCTTGTAACTGAGTGGGTTTGGGTTCAAATCCCGATTAAGACATGGTTGTATCTTCTTCAGGAAGGAAGTCGGCCTGTAATGGATTCTCGTCTTGAAAGGAAAGCAGTGCACCCCTTCTTGTTATATGCTGGGATCATCATCTGTAATAAAGGTGTATATTCTTCTTCTGTTTGTAATGTATGCTTTCTGTTCTTCCCTTGTATTTCATATGTTTCTAGGATAAGAAACACACGACAACAATAACAAAGGGTTAAGTATATTTAAATATAATCAACACATGCTTCTTTATCCCACTTATTCTTAAAAGTTAATATTCCATTTATTTCTTTACCATCATCTACACATTGGAGCACAAGTTAAATTTTAAATTAAAAACCATTTATCACGTGTTTATTTTTAACTCCTTAACACACACATTCTTTGAGAAAAATTCGGCAAAAAAATCAATTTTTTATTTAAGAAAAAAACATTTCTTAGAACT